GCCTTCATTCTACAGTGGATCGAAATGGCTGCTAACGACGAGTCTTGTTCTATCCGGTTAATATCCCAACTAAACTTGAAAGCAGTGAATGTGTTTTCTGTTTCCTGTTCCATGTTTCAAGGCAGCAGTTTGCTAAGATAATGTAAAGCCGTTTATTTACCGACTGGGTTCGTCAACACACATCGGCGTCTTCTTCAGGATTGTAATATGTATTCGATATCGTAACTCCGACGATAACGTCAGCAATGTAATCGCTAGTAATTTACTATAAACTGTGCAGGTCTGCATAAGTAAAATCTCTTTTCAGTCTAGTAACCTAAATATGTAACAATTCGTGTAAAGGGGACATTGGCTACTACGATGAAGAGGAGTTTTTCTATATCGTTGGACGACTGAAAGAGCTGATCAAAGTTAAAGGCTTTCAGGTATGTGACTGTAATCGAACTTGATTTAAATAACCGACGGTTGTTCGGCAGGTTTCACCAACTGAATTGGAAGACATCATTTTGAAACATCCCTTGGTAGTCGACGTTGCAGTAATCGGTATTCCAGATGAAATCAACGGAGAGCTGCCATTTGCATATGTGGTAAGAAAAGACGCCAGCTTAACAGAGGAAATGTTGGCATACTATTTCAACCGTAACTTTACACTAGTTCAATGGATACCATTCTAATTTTCTCAGTTTAGCAAAAGTGATTCGTTACAAACGTATAATGCCGAGCAACATTCGTTTCGTTGCATCCATTCCAAAAACGAAACTTGGAAAGCCACGACGGAAAGCTCTTCTCGAAACGTACATATCCGAGCAAAAGTCGCGCATCTTTTTGAAGAGTCGGATTTGATTCACAAAGTATATCTTGAGACAGTTGCGTACGTCTGTTAGAAATAAACAGTACTCTCAGGAAATTCGATAAATTTGGAGGTTAATCTCAAAGAATTGTAAAATTAATTTATGGCTTAAACGAGATCGTCTCATCCCGCAACACAGCGTAGGCTCCTTGCTTATAATTGTATAAAGGCACCATTTAAGCAGGAGACGGCTTCATTGTATATAGGCATCTGCAGTGCACAGGACGCAATACCGTGTCATTGAGTTGGGCGGAATAGTGATTTAAAGTACTTATTAGTAGGTACAAGATCATATTTGCCCGCGTCATTCTTGGTAGCTGCACCACAACATCAGAGGTATATTTGACTCAAACGAAATGTTCATAAACAAGTCATCTCGACCCTGTTCGATCCATTGCTGAATGAAGGCCTCTCCAGGACTTCGGATTAATCTGGTTTAAATCAAATTTAAAGCCACTGAAGCTTCAAAAAATCTCTGCATGAACCTCACAGATCAGCAGATCTTTGAAGCTACAACAAAACGTGTAATAAAACACTAAATCGTTCTGATATACACAGCTAAAATTCTAGGTATGAGAATTTGCAATGATACAAAGGCCAGAAAATGACTATGTTCTGCTTTACTTTTTGTGCGAATTTAAAATTTCCATCGAAAATGACCGAGGATGCTTCGAAAACTATACGATTTAGTCGAAAAGAGTTCAGCCATATTTATTTTTTGTGTCTAGCTTACGTTTTTCCCAGGAGTCAGCATTTCGATCGTTTGGACAATCCTACCGAAAAATAACCTCAAGTTCGTGCAAGCCATTTGTTATTTGAGCAATAAAACACTAGTAGAGTACCGCTTTGTACGTAATGGACCATTTATAAGGCAAGATCTCTGTTGAGACATTCGAAGTATATGATTTGCAAAATTTGGGCTTTCGAACCAAGAGGCTATCTAGCCGTAACAAGGAGAGCTGTCTGCTGCTCTAGAGCATGGCATCCTCTACTTCATCCTCAATTTCTACCGCAGCTCATGATGGGGAGCCATGAAGCACTCACCAAAATATACGAAATATCGCGATAGATTATAATTCCCCAAATCAATAGCTTACGCTTAGAGTTAGGAAGGAGTTTACTCTTAAAGCCGTCAATCAAAAATTGTTTTCATAACCAATGGCAAGAGAGGCATTTGACTCATCACTTAGAGTGCGCTGTTGTGTGCTTGTCGAGATGATCATCTTCAGCCGTTTGCGTGAGGGGAATGCATCTTGATTCTGATGACTGATGGCTCAGTTTCCCAACAGCCGATGCAGCTCTTGTTAGCCCGGGCTACGACATAACGTTCTATAGTGTCAATGCCATGAGCTGCAGGTGACCAATTTTTGCGGCAGACTCCGCTACGATTCCAAACCTCGCATCCTCCTTTCTCATCCGGGCCTGGGACCGGAAAAGGCGGCAAGCCAAATTAATTGGAATATGTCAGCATTGCTCAGAGCAAGAAGACTTCACCCGTGAGTCCGCCTAATTTGGCTCAGATCATCCTTCAACTTTCTGCCTCAGTATATCCGAAGATTGAATACTTTGTTCGTGCGTTGGTGATCTTACTGTACAACTATTTTTCCGTAACGGGCTTGACAAGGATTGTCCTATCCGGCAAAACGCATATTCTTCCCACGGTTGACATATACGAAGGATTGGATAATTAAGGCTTCTTTCGCCTGTGGAGCCGATGTCCTGCTTTAAATACCCATACAATTTCTCCATTGGGACACGTGACCTTTCTTTGCTGCGTATTGCAAAATCCCCGAGGTTAGGTCAAAGGACAGTGCGACACAGCAAACAGTCTCCCGGAAATCTACTGTAGTTTGATACTGTGCGATGGTTGGAACGCTCGATAAATCCCTGCATAGCAACAGTCAACATTTCCATTTTTGTTCCACCGCCTTGAGATCGAGATTTGAGGAAGGACAGCTGGAAGCATTTCTAAAATTTTTATTTCTGCATAGTTGATAAATTTTTTTGAACTTTGAACATCACCACATGCCTTCTTCACTTCAAGCTGTAATATGAGGCTCTTCGAATTTCTAGTTTGTCGTGGTTCTGTGCTTTCTGTGTTAACTTTTAATCCTGCTCTTTGCGAGCAGAAACGGCAAATATGAAGGATGGCTGTTGATAATTTGCAGGAAGTGTACAGCCCCTCTTTTGAGGTGTTCCTTAAAGCCTATTATTTGTGCACCCTTGGCATTATGGATAAGTATGGATCGAATCCTGTGCTTAATGAACAGCTGTCACACTTTATTGGAACACTGTCGTCA